CCTCTTCCCATGTGGGGCCTGAGTCGTGCCTGTGCTGTTGGGGAAAAAATGTCATTGCATGAAGAGTAATAATTAGCAAGCCATCTGCATACTTTTCTCTCTTTATAAGAGGTTTGACAATATCTTGCAGTCGCATGGATGGTGCAAGAGGAAAACTGGCAGCCATCTGGATTTACATGAATTCCCTAAGTTGTTTATCCATAGCTGCTTAAATGGCCATTTTCCCATCCTTATCTACACTTTGATGCTGGTGCCTATGGCATTTTGGAAGTGGTGTTTATGATAGGCAAGGGATTGTTGGTGGAGAAAATGCACTTGTAGCCACCGTCTTCTGGTTTCATGGTGAAATCGATGCAAGCTGTTCTGCAGCCCCTTAATTAACTACTCACTCACTAATGAGGGCTTTTTTCTTAGAGCATCCTATTTTTTAAATCAGTGAAGTCGCCAGGAAATTACAATCAATATTTGAACAATTTCCCATTTGTTTCCATTGTGCTTCTTAGAAATTCTTACAACTAGCAACATCTCTGAGAAAATTACAATTGTTTAAGGACACGGCAAAGAGAAATAATTCAATGTATTTCCCAGTGGCTCTCCTCCACCCCACCTAACAAAGTGCTATATGTTTCCCACATCTGGCTCCTTACCCAATGCAAACTTACATTTTGCCAAATATCTTGAGTGTTTGCAGAGTGCCCAATATCATAAAGTGCTTGGACCTACATGCAGGCTCTGGACACCCATCTGATTGTGCTTTATCTTGTTACATGCAATGTCTGCCTCGTGTCTTCTGGGGTGTTTGGAAAGATAATCCTAACAGTATCCTCCTCTTGGAGGGCTATCAATCTAAGGCAAGGCTCCATGCCAAGTGGTACCATGCATGGGGAACTGCAACTCTGACCACATCCCAGTGAGGCAGGTACAGTTACAACCCCATTTTACAAGTGTGAGGTGTGCAGCAGACAAAGAGGTGCAAGCTAGGAGCGAGCAGCAGAGTGCAGCTGTACACGGTGCTCCTTGCCTCCCATATCATCTTCCAGGTGCTGCGTTTGCACAGGGCATCACCACAGGCCTCCTCAAGGACATTTGTCTGTCCTCGTCCCTATATTCCTGGGGGTTGTGGCCTCCAGTCTGTTGTGGCTGCGCAACTCGGGTCAGCAGGGCCAGGACTATGCAAACCAGAAGTCCACAGCCCTGAGCCTAGGCAGCAGGAGCCTAGTGCTCAACAGTCTGAGCCCAGGAGCTCTGATTTTGCTGATGGGCTTAGGAACATGACCTCTGCATGGAGGGGCATGACTGGAGCAGCCAGAGCCAGAGGAGCAGGGGAAGGGGTGACCTCCAGGTGGGCACAGCCAGCAGCCTCTGAGCACCTGCCCCATCCATCGATACTGACTCCAGGTTCATCAGGTCACTTGCAAATAGACATTGATAAGAGACTGGCATGCAACCAGACAAGGTTTATCAGGAGCTTATGCTTGAGCACAGGGAGATGACACAGCCAGAAGAGGTTCTACCAAGGGATTCAGTGAGGGGAGCTGGGCAGGGGCTGTTGGTTACTTTGCATAGAACACCCTCAAAATGATGTTGCTTACTACTGCCATCTCAGGAATGTCACATATTGGCCACATGGGCTATTCTGGACATGTGTGCAAGTTGGGTGAAGTTCCTAGCAGGGCACTAGGGGATCTTTTGTGGCTGGGGTCTGGATGTGCCATGATCCTGATTGATTTAGAGCTAGTGATGGATACATAGGTCAGGAGATGAACGTATGTCAGGTTGGGAAGGGCTTGGCTCAGTGAGCCTGCTTCTATCCTGCCTCACCATGATCTCAGTTCCTCTCTCCAGAAACACATGCTGCCATTCAGGGACACACTAAACTGTCCTCCATCCCAGCCAAACAACAGCCATGGGTTCCTCAGAGAGGCTTTGAAGGGACCTCCAAAGGATTTTAACATGCTGTGAGACAAGGAAGAGTCAAGGACAAAGGCACATGGAGTCAGACAATTACAGCCAGAACCATCGGTAGCCAAGTGAGAGAGGGTGCCCATGCCATGATGGAACTCGGGGCAGACTTCCCAGAGGAGGAAGCCTTGGAGATCAGCCCTGAAGTACAGGCAGTATTTTTGACTGGAGAGCTAGCACAGGAAACACATGAGCGAAGGAGCTGGGGTGGAAAGACCAGGACTTACTGAGGGT